AAAAGCTGACACCGCCACATGAGTTCAGGTTACAACCCATGACTTGGAGACTTAATTATTTAAGAATTTATGTGCAAAAAGACATGTCATAATTAAGATATATCAGCTAACAACAAAAATCTATATTTACAATATCACGGTCGTGGTTGCTCACCGATTTAACAGTCATAATAGCCCATGATTCTTTTCTCCATCAATATTTAGTTCCTCTAAACTATTGAGATCAATTTAAACAACCTAAATAACACAAATAAAAATAAAAAGAACAACTGACCACCCTGATTTAGATGGTGCAACCACAGAAAACAAAGAAGAAACAGATCACGGACACAAGAGCAATAGACTCAAACACAGTAACCAGAGACCAAATGATGGCATCCACTAGAGAGAGACCAAGATCCAATGGGCAGGACAAGGATGACAGGGCCCAAGCCCAATTTGGAGCTGACCATCTGGAGAATATCGAGCCCGGCGAGCCCCTGAGGATAATTTTGGACAAGGCTACCTCTGTCCATCTCAATATTGAGGCTGAAGGCCACATAAATCTCTCCTTTAAATTTCTATGTTACTCTGCGTTAAGACTGGTTCAATTCTCTGAGCAGGAGGAACTAATACGGGATTGTGGCGTGGAGAGTGATGTGAAAAGGTTGAATTGTTGTATTTTATTTATGTTTGGAATCTAGCTTTAGATACTGTTAGTGGGTTGTGGAGGGCTCGAGAATGGACCTAATGGCTTTTGGGATTTGATTTGCGGCTGTTCAATTAAATATCATTTAAGTATGATTAATTAAATGTAGCACTATACATAAGTATGACTAATTAAGGGATAAATTACACTGAACTCCCAAAAACTTTCAAAGTTTTGCAGTAAACCCACAATAACTTTCAAAATCACATTAAACTTCAGTAACTTTTGTGTTTTGTAGAAAGCTNAAAACATTTTTCGAAATTATTGAGAGTTTCATGTAATTTATCTAAAAGATATCAGGGATGTTCTGCAAAAACTATTAGGTTTTAGTGCTATTTTGAAAATTGTTAATTGGTAGTTTACTATAAACCGCTAAAAGTTCTTAGGAGTTCAGTGTAATTTACCCTTAATTAAATATATAAGTGTTTGATATGTGTAGAGCACTTGTTGGAAATTTTTCTCATATACCCCCCTATTTGGGATGAAAACATATTCAATCATCGTGCGAGATCGACTTTCGATCTGTGATCGGTTTTCTGAATGAGAATTGGTACTTCTTATAAATACCATAGAGTAATAGACCACGTGAAAAAGCAATAACTCATTTCTAACATTTCATGGACACTAGTTCATAGTTCTAGCATATGAGCAATCATGAAGATAAGGCATTGGATATGAGCCGTCACTTCCTTTTCAAAATGAAAGATATATGAGTGATAAGGTCTATCTATTCTGATATGACCGATCGGAGTGAGTTTCATTATCAATCTATCTCTTCGTAGCTTATTTAGTAAAATTATTTGTCATCGTATGCCCATTATACCGTAAAAAATCTAATCACCAGATGATAAAACAACAACAATTTGAAGAAATGTTCTCTAGCAATAATTAAATAACCGAGTATAATTATATTTGGGATGCAAGTATGATCTTTCTTTGTTTCACCACACCATCCCAGATCTCCAAGAACTCATGCGCAACTGCCGGGAGGATGACCACGTCTCATGATACGTAAAAGATTCCCACCTGTTCACCCTCTGATTAACCCTAGCTACCAGGAAGGAGAGATGATAAATAGATTTAGGAGGTCGTGATGAAGTAAAGGATCATGCTTCATGGACATAAACAATTAATTAGCTACTGGGTCTAATAGTCATAAGATGATATTACCATGGAATTAATTATACGAGTTGTAAGAATTAATTCCTTCTATTAGTAGAATTATATCTGAGATCCACATCAAATCTTCCTTGTTTCACCAAGTAATTCAAGAATCTGTTGCACGATACGTGAAATATCAGCTCATCACCGGGTTCCGACCTATGTTCATTTTCAACCTCGAGCCACGGTGCTCCCTGCGCAAGTGCTACCCGTGCATAGTACTCCCCCGACCATCCGTCAATCTCTTTGCATCCTCTCATACTCATTAATGTTGATTTCAACTCATGGCTATGTTTTCGTTTTGTAATGAACAACCCATATCTAGAGCGATTCTAGCCTTCTGAGCAGTAGCGTAGCCAGGATTATTTTTTGCCCTGGGCGAAAAATAAAGGTGGTCTACGAGTGTGTCGTGAGGGAGAGGAGGAAGGAGAAGGGCTAGGGATTGTTGAGATCGAGGTCCTGGAAGAGGAGGGATAGGAGGTTGGATCTGCAAGAGAGGGAGGTGAAGTGGCGGGAGAGGAGGGGAAGCGAGGGGAGGAGGGAGAGGTCGTGGGAGAGGCAGAGTTTTCCTGTTTTAAGTGGAGCTTATATGCATGGCTGTATACCCTATCTGCAAACTATAACTTTTCCAAGAAAACAATTACGCTGTAGGACTTTTAACTTGATTGGTTAATTAGTAGTAGCATCTTAAAGCAATGAAGTTTGATGAAACAATTTCTAAAGGAATAATACAAATTTGGCTTTATTCCACACTTTCAGTCTAATAGGTTGATAATAATATATCAAAAACTACACTACTAAGTTAATAAGCAAATAATAAAATATTAATTATGCGTTTGCCGGGAGTCGAACCCGGGTCTATTGCTTGGAAGGCAATTATCCTAACCGTTGGACTACAAACGCTGTTACTATCCGTGTATTATAAAATCATATAAATATAAAGAAAACATTTTGTCACTTGCCGAAACCCTAATCCGAAGCTCCTATTCCCCTTCGTTCACTCAAGTCCCCAACTTTCGCGCTCGATCCCTCGAGCGCGAGATCCAGTCGCTCGCCCTGAAAACCCTAGCTCTCATATCAATTGATGTCGTCAGAGAGGAAACGAAAGATCAGCCTCTTCGACGTCGTCGACGAGACCACAATCTCCGCCAAGCTGGCCAGGGACACCAACTCCGGCGCCGCCGGGACCAGCAACGGATCGACCTCGATCCCTCCATCGATCAATCGATGGAACGGGCGTCCTTATTCTCAGAGGTACTTCGAGATCTTGGAGAAGAGGGAGACTCTCCCAGTTTGGCAGCAGAAAGATGAGTTCATGCAGGTTCTCAGGTCAAATCAGACTTTAATTTTGGTCGGGGAGACTGGAAGTGGGAAGACTACTCAGGTTTGCGACCAAAAAACCGATCGTTGCTTTGTTTGATACCATTTTTGTTAGAAATCGAGTTTTTGGGGTCTTTTCGTGGTCAAAATCTATGCCTCGTTAAGTTGTTATATTAATCATTGTGTATTTGGGAATATACGCTGATTGTGGATTGTCAATCACTCACTGTGAGGATCGAGACCCTTGGTTGATCCTCAGGCTGCTATTTCTGGCCATGGTTAAAACTTCCAGGTCTTGAGATCAGGGAATAAGAGAGAATTGAGACAGTAAAGGGAGATGAGTTGAAAGAGAGAAGAATAGAACTCAGAATTTAGGAGAAGAAGAGAACCCATTTTCATTCATGCTGATTTTAATGTACATTCTCTTCTTTATACCTCCCCTCCAAAACACAGAAACAGCAAACATGCACAAAACGTGCACGAGCTCATTTAACAAACACAACAGAATTAACTGTTTGCAACCAACTTAGCAGACTCCTAAGCATTTATTACAATGTATATAAACTTGCATAACAGTCCTCCGTGTCTTCTTCATGTCCAGTCCTTCCTCTTCCAGCTGCAGCTCACCCATCAACTCTCAGGAGGTACCTGGTAGTTTATTTCTGGCAATTCCATTCCTGACAATTCCCTTTCCCTTAATTTTGACCTTGTCTCAAGGTCAAATGCAGGAAATTTTTTGATGAGATCCTAATAAGATTCCCAAGTAGAATCTAAAGGAGACCTTTGCTTCCATTTAATTATAACATGAGACACCAATCTTTTTCCCTGGGTTATCTGCCTCCTGTCTAAGATCTACTCTGGTTCATCAACTAGTTCTGTAACATAGCTAGGAGGATTGTTCTGCTGTACAACACCAGAACCTAACTTCTTCTTCAGTTGGGATACATGAAAAACAGGATGAATCTGTGCATGGTTAGGAAGAGCCAATCTATAAGCAACTTCACCAATTTTCTCCAAAACCTGGTAGGGACCATAATATTTAGGAGAAAGCTTATGTGTTTTGTAAGATGAAACACTCAATTGCCTGTAAGGCTGAAGCTTAAGATATACCTAATCTCCAACATCAAAACTCCTATAGCTTCTATGCTTGGTCAGCAAATCTCTTTGATTGTTCAGCAGCTTTTGTCAAACTGTCCTTGAGGAGTTGTAGAGATATATCCCTGGAAAAAAGAGCTGTATCTACAGATTCCACCTTACAACTTTTGGGAACATAGGAGAGCAAGGATGGAGGAGGTCGGTCATACACTGTCTCAAATGGTGTAGTATTAGTAGAAACATTCCATGTAGTGTTATACCAAAACTTAGCAAGTGGCAACCATTTGCACACTCCTTTGGTTTGTGGCAACAAAAACACCTCAAATAGCATTCCAGATTTTTATTGGTTATTTCACTTTGGCCATCAGTTTGAGGGTGATATGCAGAGTTAAATTTGAGCTGGCTCTCCTGTAATCTGAAGAGTTCCCTCCAAAACAAACTGGTAAATAGAGGATCTCTATCACTAATTATGGATTTGGGCATTCCATGGAATTTAAAAACCCCCTCAAAGAATACTTGAGCCACAGACTGTGCAGTGTAAGGATGTGCTAAGGAAAAAAATGAGCATACTTTGATAATCTGTCCACCACCACAAATATCACTGATTGGGTACCACAAGTTGACAGTTTTGTGATGAAATCCATTGACAAATCCTCCTAAATTTTTTCTAGAATGGGTAGTGGTTGTAAGAGTCCTGGGGATGCAACATTCTCTCCCTTGGCTCTTTGACATGTATCACAAGCTTGGACATGTAACTGCACATCTCTTTTCATCCCCTTCCAATAGAAAACTCTTCTCAACCTATGCAAAGTCCTGTGAATTCCAGAGTGCCCTGCAGTAGGACTGTCATGATGTTCTCTCAATAAAGAGATCTTCAATCTTTGAGCATTAGGGCTGATTAAAATTTTGCCCTTATAGTAGTGAATACCCTCCTTCCTGGTATAATCCTCATTGTTTAATTGTCCTTGCTGTAATTTCTCATCTAGTTCCCTGAAAAAGTCATCCTCAGAATACATATCTCTAATACCCTCCAACCAATCACTATTGTCAGTGGATATGGCTGAAATTTCTGCATTGTCTTCATAAATTCTGGACAACCCATTTGCAGCTTTGTTCAATCTTCCTGGTTTGTACTCTACAGTGTAGTCATAGCCATGTAGTTTTGCAAGCCACTTGTTTTGGATTCGAATCCTTTGCGCTAAAATATATTTAAGACTTTGGTGGTCAGTCCTAATCACAAAACTTCTCCCAAGTAAATATTGTTGCCACCTTTTAGTAGAAAGGATTATAGCTAGCAACGCTTTCTCATAAGTTGATAATGTAGCATTTTTTCTTTTCAGTGCAAAGCTAAAATAGGCTATAGGTTTCTCTCTTTGCATCAACACAGCCCCAACCCCAGTTCCAGATGCATCACACTCTATTACAAATGCTATATTAAAATCAGGCATAGCTAATACTGGAGAATTGGTTAATGCTTCCTTCAAAGATTTAAAAGCAAATTCAGCATTTGTGTTCCAAACAAAATTACCCTTCTTTAAAAGCTATGTTAGGGGCTGAGCTATTGTTCCAAATCCCTTGATAAACTTCCTATAGTATCCTGCCAGGCCTAGGAACCCTCTCAGCCCTTTGAGTGATTGAGGCAGAGGCCATTCAATGATAGTTTGAATTTTTTTGGGATCTACACCAACACCTTCTTGTGAAACAATATGGCCCAAGTATTCTACTTGCCTTTATCCAAAACTACATTTAGACATCTTGGCAACCAATTGATGGTTCTTCATGATTTGAAAAACCTGTTCCAAATGTAATAGATGGTCCTACCACTCCTTGCTATACACCAGGATGTCATCAAAGAAAACCAACATAGATTTTCTGAGTAAATTCTTGAAAATGGTGTTCATAAGAGCCTGAAATGTTGAAGGGGCATTGGTGAGACCAAAAGGCATAACCAAAAAACTCATAATGTCCATTATGAGTTCTAAAAGCAGTTTTTTGAATATCTGATTCATACATCCTGATTTGGTGATATCCATACTTCAAATCCAGTTTGGTGAAGAACTGAATTCCATGTAGCTCATCAAGTAACTCATCAATGACTGGAATAGAAAACCTGTCCTTAATGGTGGCTTTGTTCAAGGACATATAGTCTATACACATCCTCCAACTGCCATCTGATTTTTTTTCCATGACTATAGGTGAAGAAAAAGGGCTATTACTGGGCCTAATAACCCCCTTTTGTAACAACTCTTTAATTTGTTTTTCAATTTCTTCCTTCAGGAAATGTGCATGCTTGTAGGGCCTGATACAAACTGGTTTAGTTCCAATTTCAAGTGGAATCCTGTGATCTATTTCCCTAGCAGGAGGGAGGTGAGGCAATTCTTGAAAAATCACTTCAAACTCTTGTATCAATTTGTGCATTTCCACGGGTAATTTTTCCTCTTTGCTTCCCAAAATTGGTTCCTGTAGGCTCACACTGCACAATTGAATCAAAAATCCTTCTTCTTGTTCTCTAAATGATTTGGCAATGCTTTTTCCATCAACTAGTTGCATCTCCCCTGGAATTACTCCCTGTAATGTTCTTTTAATTCCATCACAGAGGAACGTCACCTGTAATTTCTGAAAGTTCAAGGTGATGTCTTCTAATGTCTTCATCCAATCTGTCCCTAGTACAATTTGACTCCCACACATAGGCATCACTAACAGGTTCACCTTGATGTCTACCCCTGACAATCTAACAAAACTTCTTGGCACACTCCTGCTCCCTTGATTAATTCTCCACTTGCCACCAGTACATCAAAGTTGTTGTATTCTATCACTGTTAGTCCAAGTTTCTTGACCAACTTAGAATTAATGAAGTTATGAGTGGAACCAGAATCTATCAAAATGCTAATGGCCTGATTCTTGTAGTAACCAACTACCATGATGGTATGGGAAGCTGTTATTCCACTGAAAGCCTGCTCAGAAATAGATGGAGCTCCTTTCACTAAGCTTTCAGCCAGTTCTATTGCTACTTGGCCTGCTTCATCCCCTGAATTATTATTTGCATCTTCCTCCATTCCCCCTGTCATGATACCCTCCAAGATGAATAAGCGTTTATCCTTACATTAGTGACCCTTGTGCCATTTTTCATCACAAGTAAAACATATATTTTGACTCCTCCTTTGAATCTCTTCAGGAGTGAGCTTCTTGACCTGTGGTGATGATCTATGTCATTCTTGTACAGAAATTTCATTAGAGGGACGAGTTGAAGGACTCCCTTGATTAAAGACATTCCAATTGCCTCTAACTTTCTTTTCATTTCTTTGTTTATCTTCAAATAGCTTGGCCAGGGATACTGCTCCTTTCAAAGAAGAGGGCCTGGCAGCAGCTACTTCATACCTCAATTCATCCTTCAACCCCCCTATAAAATTTTCCAATATGTGTTTTTTAGAGGGTTGATCATCCAACAGGCCTAAAGTCTGTTCAAATTTTCCCGAGTATTCCCTAACAGTGGATATTTGTTTCATAGTAGAAAATGTATCATAGGGTCTAAGGAGTTCACTAGGTCCAAACCTTGTGATGATTTCTTTGTTTCATAGTAGAAAATGTATCATAGGGTCTAAGGAGTTCACTAGGTCCAAACCTTGTGATGATTTCTTCTTTGAAAACTTCCCAAGTCTAAGGAGTTCACTAGGTCCAAACCTTGTGATGATTTCTTCTTTGAAAACTTCCCAATGGTTATAGTGGTCAAGATTTTTTAAGTACCACCTAAACCATTGCAGTGCTTCATCCCTCAAATAAAAAGAACAGACCTTAACCCATTCATCCTCCTTGATGTTATAGTAATCAAATATTTGCTCAATTTATTCTAACCAAGACACCACATTCTCAGAGCTAGAAAAAGATGGAAAATCCAATCTGTGTGATTTCGGTTGAACTAGTTTCTGATTACTAAAGAATGAATTCTTTTGAGACAAGAAATTATCATGGCTTTGAGTTGAAGGGAACTCTTCACCAGAAAATTCAAATCTCCTCTGTGGGTGATGGACATTCTCATGAATCTGATCCTTGTTGCCTGATCCAAAAATCCCACGCTCATTTCTTGATCCTAAACCCAAGATTCTTTGATCACTCCTCACTCCATTACCTGATGATTCAAGAATTCCACGATCGTTTCTTGATCTTGAGCCCAAGATTCTTTGACCGTTTCTCACTTCAGTACCTGATGTTTCCTTAGAATCCTTGAGTTCTTGCAATTGAGAAGATATCGCCTTTAATTACGCCATGAATTCTTGATTGATGAGTCTCTGTTGAGTGAGAGATTCATCTATACGAGTCATCTGATTGAAGAGCCCCTGTTGAATGAGGGTCTCCTCCCTACGAGCTCCTTGTCGAGTCACTTCGTCTTCTAAAGCTACCTCACGATCGGCCATGGAATCTTCAGCTCCTACCTCCAACTCCAGCTGCTCTGATACCAATTGTGATGATCGAGACCCTCGGTTGATCCTCAGGCTGCTATTTCTGGCCATGGTTAAAACTACCAGGTCTTGAGAACAGGGAATAAGAGAGAATTGAGACAGTAAAGGGAGATGAGTTGAAAGAGAGAAGAATAGAACTCAGAATTTAGGAGAAGAAGAGAACCCAATTTCATTCATGCTGATTTTAATGTACATTCTCTTCTTTATACCTCCGCTCCAAAACATAGAAACAGGAAACGTGCACAAAACGTGCACGAGCTTATTTAACAAACACAACAGAATTAACTGTTTGCAACTAACTTAACAGACTTCTAAGCATTTATTACAATGTATATAAACTTGCATAACAGTCCTCCGTGTCTTCTTCATGTCCAGTCCTTCCTCTTCCAGCTGCAGCTCACCCATCAACTTCCAGGAGGTTTCTGGTTGGTTATTTCTGGCAATTCCATTCCTGACACTCACCCAAGTTTAAATAATAGCGTGGGAAAGTTTGGTACATGAGATAATGATGAGTGATTTTGCATCACACCTAGAGAAGTAATAAATTTGGCCGCAATAAAGAAATTAAACCTGAAAATATATATAATTATAGTTTCATTTACATGAAGTATTGTGAATTTACGATAAGGAGTTTATAACACAAAGTCCTTTCTTTCAGTCGCTCTTCTTGTTCTGAAACTGTTACATGTTGCGCCTTGGATCACCGAATCCAAGGATTGACCTGAAGAGAAGGATGTTAGGACTGGTTTGAAGGACCACAGGGAAAGTGATGCGCTTGTAGTGTGTTAGGAAGACAGATGCATCTAGTTTCCCTCTCAGTTCATTGGTTGAATTTTTTTATGATGAATCCTTCGACAGGATGTTCTCTTTGTTGAGTAGGGATGTTATCATTTTTTAATATTATGACGAAATTGGTTGTGTACGCACAGGTGGTTTGTGTATGAACTTAGATTATGAATGATATGTTATGCCTTAATTTCACATTCTTAACACCTGTGTATTTGTTCAACATATGATATAAATACTGTTCAATGCTATCCATTTTTGACCTATTTTATTTTATAACATAATCCATAATAATTTTTTCAAGAAGCGATAAAATTTCTGTAGTTTTTAATGTGTACATTTGTCCAAGATGTTGGTATATACACATTACCTAAGTATTCTTTCAAAAATTTAATTCTTTGGCATTCTTGTTCCTTTACCATGCTATATTTTAACAAGATAGTGTCTGAGTTCTATCACAATACATGTTATTGTGGAACTATCATTAAATACATTTAGGTGGCTAGTTCCATTTGCTATGTACAAATTCATTGCCTAATCATCTCTTCACATGCCAGATGTTACACTTCTTTTTAATTTTTACTACAGAGGCTTCTAGAATATCATATTACAATATCTTTTCCCAAGTCTTTGAAGCCATTAATCAGCTTTGGTTAAACAGATTCCACAATTTGTTCTGGAATATGATGGGTTAGGCAAACGTGGGATGGTTGCTTGCACCCAACCTCGTAGAGTTGCTGCAATGTCTGTCTCTCGTCGAGTTGCAGAGGAGATGGATGTGACTATTGGTGAAGAAGTTGGATACAGCATTCGTTTTGAAGATTGCAGTAGTCATAAAACTATTCTGAAGTAAGCTTCATGTCTTTTATGCATATAAAATTGATTCAAGATATTTATGGTTTTCTTTTGTGAATTCTGAGTGGCCTGGCTTTCCCCTACTCTTTGTGATTTTTTTCTTGGNACCATCAATATTTTTTGTTTCTTTCTCTTGTTGAATTCATCTGCTGTGTTGGCCCTTTCTTCCCTCTGTTTAGGTACTTAACAGATGGTATGCTTTTAAGAGAAGCAATGGCTGACCCACTTCTGGAGAGATATAAGGTGATAATTCTTGATGAAGCACACGAGCGAACTTTGGCAACAGATGTTTTGTTTGGGCTTCTTAAAGAAGTTCTAAAAAACAGACCTGACCTTAAACTAGTTGTCATGAGTGCAACACTTGAGGCTGAGAAATTCCAGGGTTACTTTAGTGGTGCACCATTGATGAAAGTACCTGGAAGGTTACATCCAGTGGAAATTTTCTATACGCAGGATCCTGAAAGAGATTACTTGGAAGCTGCAATCCGGACAGTTGTGCAGATACATATGTGCGAACCACCAGGTGATATACTTGTATTCTTGACTGGCGAAGAGGAGATAGAAGATGCATGTCGAAAAATAAATAAGGAAGTCAATAATTTGGGTGACCAAGTTGGTCCGGTGAAAGTGGTGCCTCTTTATTCTACATTACCTCCAGCTATGCAACAGAAAATATTTGAGGCTGCCCCACCACCAATAAAGGAAGGTGGTCCCTCTGGAAGGAAGATCGTGGTGTCCACTAACATAGCAGAAACATCACTGACTATTGATGGTATTGTTTATGTTATTGATCCTGGATTCTCTAAACAGAAGGTCTATAATCCTCGGATTCGTGTTGAGTCTTTGCTTGTCTCACCAATATCAAAGGCAAGTGCTCATCAAAGATCAGGACGTGCGGGGAGAACACAACCTGGAAAATGCTTCAGACTTTACACGGAAAAGAGTTTTAATAATGATTTACAGCCACAGACCTATCCTGAAATTCTCCGGTCTAATCTAGCAAATACAGTTCTCACCTTGAAGAAGCTTGGCATTGATGACCTTGTACATTTTGACTTTATGGACCCTCCAGCCCCTGAAACTCTGATGCGTGCATTGGAGGTTTTGAACTACCTAGGTGCTCTGGATGATGAAGGGAACTTGACAAAGTTAGGTGAAATCATGAGTGAGTTCCCCTTGGATCCTCAGATGTCAAAGATGCTTGTTGTCAGTCCCGATTTTAATTGTTCAATTGAGATCGTATCCATATCAGCGATGCTTTCAGGTAAGCCACATTTTCTATGATTCTATTTCTTTTAAATTATCTCCCAGTAGTCCCTGGTCTTTCAGGTAAGCAACAGTTTGAGGAATATAATTATAGACTCTACCTGTTCGGGTTCCCATAATGCATAATATGGTGCACAGTGTCATGCTGGGGTGCCATTGTGGTTTGGTTACATACATTTTAGGAACAAAACAATGCATTACGTACTTCATCGCATGGCATTAAAATTGTCTCTAATGTTCAGTTAGGGTCTTCTAATTATAGTTATGGTTGTCGTCAGCAATTGTGTCATCCCAACAGTAGAATTTTTTTAATAGTTTAGAGCTGATGATGGTAGTTGCAGTTTCTCAGTTATTCTCTCTTCACACAAATGGTGTCGTCTCGCCTCTATCAATCTGCTGACCTACAATCGGCTTCATCTGTGATAAAATAATTTCTTTTTAGTACCAAATTGCTTTCTCCGGCCTAGAGACGCTCAGAAAGCTGCAGACGAAGCGAAAGCTCATTTTGGCCACATTGATGGAGATCACCTCACACTGCTAAATGTTTACCATGCATATAAGCAAAATAGTAAGTACAAAATATCTTTTGTGCCTTTTTATGCCTTGGGAAAGTTTCTCCCTTCCCTAAATTTTTTTTTTTTTTTTGATAAATCCCTCTTTTTGCTGTGTTATAGGTGAGGATCCTTCGTGGTGTTATGAGAATTTTATCAATCAAAGGGCAATGAAGTCTGCTGACAATGTGAGGGAACAGCTTGTGCGCATCATGGCTAGATTCAACCTCAAACTGTGCAGCACAGATTTCAGTAGCCGCAATTATTACATCAATATCAGAAAGGCTCTGCTTTCAGGGTACTTTATGCAGGTAGCTCATCTTGAACGCACTGGTCACTATTTGACAGTGAAGGACAACCAGGTAAGGTGCTGCTTTAGAAGTCCGTACTTCTTAGCTTGAGCTTTTAAATCTGGATAATTCGGTGACTGTTTCCTACTTTTAGGTGGTGCATCTCCATCCTTCAAACTGCCTGGATCACAAGCCTGAGTGGGTAATTTACAACGAGTATGTTTTGACCAGCAGAAACTTTATCCGCACGGTTACAGATGTTCGTGGAGAGTGGTGAGTTGATGTCGTATCTTAAGAAATGCTAATTTAGCGTGCTGATCATCTATACTAAAACTGACTACCATAATGACAAGTTTAGTTTTTTTACTTTGTGTTAAAGGAAACTCTTGCATTGTGTTGAGATAGCGCTAGCATGCTTTCGTAGTTTCACTCTCTTTAATAATATTAATTAAACTATCATAAAAAGGGAATTGCATCAGAAAATCTAGACATAATGCAAACATGATACTGAAGCCTTGCACTATCTAGAATCAGCTTATACTGGATATGTCACTTTGCAGATCTTTTGACTGTGATATTTATGGGAAAGAACTGCCATGACATATTTTGCATTGCGTACAACTGTTATTAGTAAGTGGGACTGGTATCTTAGGACGTTAGCTTTGTTTGATCAGTTTTGGTCATTTGTTTGTGTGAAATGTATGATGATCATCCCATTATATATTTCTAGCTTTTGTTCTTGTTGTGAATTATACATGCTAATACCTGTTTTTTATTGATCGAAAGCAGTGATTATATAAGGGTTTTTTTCGATATTAGTCCCTTAAATCTTGCGTATTTAATATTAGTCTCTCAAAATTAGTCCCCCAAATCCTCTTAGTGTTTTGAAACAAGTGCCCCTAATTAGCACCTGGTTAAAATAGAAGGACTATCCTGTCATCTTTGACAGAATATGTTACAATTCCGATTTTACCCTTAAGGATACAAACCTGAACCCCAACTTGTTTAGCTCCCTTTTACATTCTTTGAACCTGTTTAACAAATTAAGTCACAGAAAATTTCTAAAATAACAAGAAAATTGTTAAGGGAAAACAATAGAAAACACAAACAATTTAAAATCATATCAATGCACTCCAAATTAGGGCAATATAAATTAAAAAATTGGGGGCGATTGTACAATCCCCAAATCAAAAACCATTACATTAAACAGACAAGAATTGGGGCAAAATATAAACTATGGTCCAACTAATATATAAACTTTAAACCATAAAATCATCAACCAACTTACCTTCACGATCCATTTGATCTTAGGCCAAAATACTCCAGTGCCCAAAATTTGGGGGAGATTTTCAAACCCTAACCACAGTCAACTGTTTTTGTGCAATTACAAGTGATTTAGGGTGTTTACGAGTAATTTAGGGCATGATTTGGGGTGATTGATCAGATGGAAAAATCTTCCCTTTCCTCAACGGAATTAAGGAGTAAATAAGAGAAATAGGGAGTTATCAGCTGGGGTTAAATTTGTAACTACCCAACCATGGTTTACAACGAACTCAACAATGGTTTTCACTTTAGACAGAATGGATACAGAGGGACTTATTCCAAAATATTAATAGGATTTGGGGGACTAATTTCAATTTTCAGTGATTTGGAGGACCATCTTCATGATAAGCAAGATTTGGAGGACTAATACAGAAAAAACCCATTAGTTTACAAAATTTTTTACATACTCAAAAGCAACCATAACAGGAATCTATCATTTTCTTTATATATTTGCTCAACGAATGAATTTCATATTGCTAGTGGTAGAGGGAGGAAAATGAAATGCTTGTTCCTGTAAGTGTTTCAGTTGAGGCATCGTCTTGGAGCCACGGATATTTTATATAGTGGAGGCATGTCTTGCCTTGCATCACATTGGACACAGCACTTTGTGCGACGTCATTTTTGTTTTACTTGTATTTTTTTCTTTATCTGTCTTGTGTTGCGACATGTCACACCTGTGTCACTGAGTCATGTGATGTAGGACGAATTCTAAGGCTTCATCTGATGCAAATAATATTAGATAAAGTTGTTAGAGATTCAAATTTAGATTTGTATTTCTCTATTAGGATTTAGATAGGATTTCCTATTGAATTTCAAATTGTATTAGAGATGGGCTCACAACTCTATGTAAAGAGCTGTGATTTCCATTGTTTTTAGAGGATGTAAAATTGAGAAATAAAGTTACAATGTCTACCATGTGATTTGCTAGTCCGGTGGGCATGTGATTTGCCGATGTGTGAAGTGAAGAAAGCTAGATGCTGTGAGTGAATCCAATTTAGCCAATTTTATTTATCTTGTTTATTTTTTGAGTTGTTTTTCCTTGTAGCCATCTGAATCATTCTTTCCTCAATATTAAAATTCTATTCCCTCAAAGTAACCAATTTACCAAATCCAAACTTCTTAAAAGTTTTCCTGCGATAGTACTCTACTGCCCTTTCTTATCAAGAGAATTGAGGGGAGGAGGAGGGAAAAAAAAGGGGGGGGGGGGG